GGAAGACACTTCAGGGCTCATCCCTGCTTTGGCCGTAGCTGAACGTGGCAGTGAAGTGCCTCAAGACCGATGTGCTGAGCCAGCCGGAGGCACTGGATGACTTCATCCGGGAGGTGAATGCTATGCACTCCCTGGACCACAGGAACCTCATCCGCCTGTACGGTGTGGTGCTCTCCCACCCCATGAAGATGGTGAGTCTGGGGGGTCAGGGCCAACCCTCGTACCACTCCATGGGGGTCCCATGTGATGGGATGAGCAAAGAAAGCCAGGCTTGGTCTGTACCCCAAGTCCTCTGCTGGCATCCCCAGTGGGGCACAAGAAGGCTGGAAGCCAGCCCAACCAGGGTGCCCCTGGACTGACTGATGTGATGTCCTCACCCCATGGCCCAGGTGACAGAGCTGGCCCCGCTGGGTTCCCTCCTGGACCGCCTTCGGAAGAACCAGGGCCATTTCCTCATCTCTACCCTCTGCCAGTATGCCATCCAGGTGGCCAAGGGCATGGCCTACCTGGAGTCCAAACGCTTCATCCACCGCGACCTGGCTGCCCGCAACATCCTGCTGGCCTCCAATGAGCTTGTCAAGATCGGAGACTTTGGGCTGATGCGGGCCCTGCCCAAAAATGACGACCACTACGTGATGCAGGAGCATCGCAAGGTCCCTTTTGCCTGGTGAGCCCTGAGGAGGGGGGAGACCTGGAAGTGCAGCACCCATGACCTTACGATGCTCACATCCTTCTCTATGTAGGTGTGCTCCTGAGAGCCTGAAGACACGCACCTTCTCCCATGCTAGTGACACCTGGATGTTCGGGGTGACCCTCTGGGAGATGTTCACCTATGGGCAGGAGCCTTGGATCGGCCTCAACGGCAGCCAGGTAGGTGTGGAGCAGGGCCCTGTCCCCTCACCTCACCCCATTGGTGCTGAAGGGGACCTGGGACCCCCTGACAGCAGCCCCTGCCCCACAGATCCTGCACAAGATAGACAAGGAGGGTGAGCGGCTGCCACGGCCTGAGGACTGCCCCCAGGACATCTACAACGTCATGTTGCAGTGCTGGGCACACAAGCCTGAGGACAGACCCACCTTCGTGGCTCTGCGGGACTTTTTGGTGGAGGTGAGTGAATGGGGAGGACAGGAGCTCTGGCACCCCAACCTGCTGGTTCTGCTCGGACATGGGTAGAGTCAAGAATATCAGTGAGATTGGAGGCGACATGGGGGAGCTTGGGCCTGGCAGCCCTGCAGGCCGGGAGGTGGTGGGTAGTGATGTGGTCACAGCAGGAGAACCCTGGGTACCAGCTTGCCCTCACCCACCCCAGGGATGTGACAGCTGAGGAGGGGCTGGTGGTGATGGTGTCCATTTCTGGGGCCTCCATGCCCTGCATGGGACTGGACCTGGCCTCATAACAGGGTAGGGATGGACATGGGGGGCTGTGTCCCCTCTCCTCACCCACCTTTCCCCCCAGGCCCAGCCCACAGATATGAGAGCACTACAGGACTTCGAGGAGCCTGACAAGCTGCACATTCAAATGAATGACATCATCAC